TTTTTTTTAACTTAGTTATACAAATATATTCAAATTGTTTTATTTTAAATATTTAATTATTATTTAAATTTAGTATTTTTAATTAAATGTGCATCTCTTAAATATTCTACTAAAAACAATTGTTAATACAACATCAGTTAAAAGCAAAAATTGTTGTGTAAATTAATTATAAAAGAACTTCTCTTTATTTATGTTGTGAAACTTTGCTTATCAGAACTTTTTAATTTTGAATATTATCTTACCAATCTTTCTCTTCTTGAAATATTCTGTATATAAAAAAAAGTATTTATTAAACATTCAATAGAATACTTTGTACAGAGACTTATAAAACTTTATTATCTATTTGAGTAAAATGCAATTTTAATTAATTTCTGTTGATTAGCTAATTTTTTTCAATTAGATTAAATACGTCACCAAAACTTTAGATAGTATAATTCCAAATTATTCTGTTTATACATATGTATACTTCTCTCTATTGATTCCTCTTATTACTTTTCTTACTATTTAACTTTTTATCTAACTTCTATTCTGTCTCTTCGTCTTTTATTGTGCTAGTTCGTTTTAGAAAACTACTTTTAAATCTTCTTCTTATTACTCTATCGTTTTCCTTCTTTTGACCTTGTTCGAAGTAATTATAAATTGATATTGGTTAGTACTAAAATCAAATTAACATCTGTTATATTGTATGTACTACTGTATATAAATGTTTAGAAACATATTTAAATTTAAAAAAATTTGCTATACTGAATTCAGTTGTTATGGATATAATTATAAGAGAAAATATTTCGATAAATATAAAGAACAATACTTGTCGAATCAATGTGTGAATTCGAACTTCGAACAAGGCAGTGACCTTCTATTCCTCTTGTTATTTCTCTAGTTACCTATACTCTATAGCTCTATTCTGTCACCGCATGCCAAACTAGAGGACCCACCGCTCCGGATTGACCCCTCTGCGAAAAAACAACAAAGAGGCCGCCTCCATGCAACATGCAGATGATCCTGGTTGCTGGCGGGTGAGTCCATCATAGAATCCCGACACACACAGCTATACATGCGGTTATACAACACACACGTACGCACACACGGACACACATACACACTTAAAACACAGAGACATACACGATCGAACGAAGAAACGTATGTATTATACGTATTGGTAGCTTGATTTTCCTGTTATTATTTCCTTTCCCGTAATATTCATCTTCCTGCCCATTGATTCTCTTTTGGGCCCTTTTTCGGTGCGCATTTAATGTTAAATATGGCTGTTCTCCAAAAAGAAATTATATTTAACTTAAAAGATTTAATTTTGTATGTGTGTATTATAAATTGGTTCACATGTAGGATGTTTAGAAGAAAATCAAATAATTATAGAAGCTATAGATCATTAAATTAGAAACGGTCTAATCTTCGCAAAATTTTATTCAATACGTTATAAAAATCTTATTTTTTTATGTTATTTTTCCAAGAAACTTGCAAGCTTTTTAAGAGTTTTAATGTTTTCGTGCTTGTGACTAATAACTATTTAAATAATTTCATTGAATGTTACAATCTTCTGCTTTTAATAATGCGATTTTGAAACGTGTTTTTAAGAGAGTTTGTGTTGACGGGTGGGGCAATACTCCTGGGATCCGCCCTGCCTACAATATTGTATATGATGCAAGGCGTAAAAAGTCCACATGATAAACGATTTTCCAGTTATCACTTGACGTCATGCAATTTTTCCGTTGTATTAATTTATCTTGTATTTTACTAAAAACGAAGACCAAAGCATTAACCATTAAATAGTTCAGCGAAAGTTAAACAATATAATGCAAAAAAAGAACTATAATCTGTTTTAAAAAATCTTTAGATCCTTCTCATAAATGAAGATTAAGATACAAAAAGCTTAAGTTATATAAATATTTATTATTTTTATTGCGTTTCAGAATTTAACAAATTTTTAAGTTAATTTTTAAATGAAAACGTATATATTTTAAGATAAGAACGTATATATTTTTTATCTTTTTTAGAATCTTATATTTTGATATATTAGAATTTTAATTACAATATTTTTAAATTAAATTTTTGAATTTTTTTTATCTTTATACAATCACTTTCTAAATTTATATTCTATTATTTTAAATTTGATCATATTATAAAACATGTATTAAATTTTTAATTTAAAAATATATTAATAATTTGAATTAATAATCCGACTAAATATTCTATTACCTTGGATTATTATTATCTCGGTATTATTATAAACAGACATTACATATCTGGATATCTCAACTGAAATTAATTGTTTACGATTACAAGATTATTTATCATGCATATTCACGCTTAGTATGTTTTAAATAAAAGCGTAATTAAGGATCAATATTTTGACACGCTAAAGTTCGAATTCGAAATAATTAACCCTTTCCTCTGGCAACTAGGGTCTTTAAAAACACTATTGGACACTATTGGATACTGCAAAAAATAAGTAAAATACAATCCAACTTTCATGATAAAAACTTGTTGAAATTTTAACAAGTATATCTGAATACTTTCAGATTTTTATATTAATCCGGAACAATAAAAAAATTGCACAGTTTCTAAAAGACCACTATTGCTGACAGAAGAGTTAATATCCATGTTACTAGCAGAGGGTTAAGGATTAATGTGAATTTTGAAATAGAACGAAAAGAAAAAAAATGAAAGTTGTTATCATTAAAATTATTAATAAAATATATATATATATAAATTTTAAAAATCTAACATTTACGAAATAATACAATAAGTATTTACTAATTTCGAATATCAGTTAACAGATACAGTTTCTAATTTTACTTTTGTGGTCTGATCCCATCAAACTAACAATAAATTAAAATGAATATTTTCGAATAAAATATAAGAAATCCGTTAGTGCTTGTGCTTTTCTATTTTATGCCTCAGCCATATCTGTGACGATAATGGTAGCCAGGTGCATTCAAATGCAGATTTTATATGTTTCCCTTCACTTACATATGTTTACATGACATATTTATCCGATGTTGCTAACCAGCTGTCTGCCACGTGTTATATGTACACGCATCAATTGAAGCATTTGTTTTGGCTGTCTCATCTATCACAATTTTATTTTCTTTGTCACAAAAATTTCTAATAAAAATCATCATATAAAGATTTTAAAAATATTATTTTTTATCATTTGGTTTACGAAAGTGTATTTTTTATTATATAAAATTCTTACATGAAAATTCAATTAATAAAATAAATACTTCTACTGATTAGTTTTAATTCTAATTATACATTATTCATATAGTATTAAATATCTTTAATTATTAAGAAAGGAATTTAAACTTTATTTTTACATAATTATATTTAGATACATAAATATTATATATTAATAGTCGAAGTTGTAAATATAATATCTTTTTGTTAGAATAACATAAGGATATATAATTAGATTTTCAATTATAAGTGTGTAATTAAAAATTTATTTGAAAGGAATTGATACAAGATCAAGATGACATTTTTATTATGAGTAATTGACGATACTTAATGAAATTCAATTTATATGTCATTTTGTAACAATGCGTAAATTGTGAGAAAGTCTGCACTCGAACCACCCACGTGTCGTTTTCCGAAGTGGGCCATTCTAATTAACATAATGACGGATCTGCCGAAGTTTTAAGGATTATTATAACTTTGCTCGCGCATCATGTTAATTAAACTTTCTCTGAAATAAATGTGGTTTAAATTACATCTCTTGGCTCGAGACTTCATTTTTCGTCGAAAATAATTTGGCGCAGTAATAACTCATAATACAATTATAAATCAATTAATCAAAGCCTACTGCTCATACACATACGTGTCGCTTTTAAACTTTTATATTAATCTCATTATTAGTATATATTTCATAATATTTCATAATTAATATTATTTTTACTGACATTGAATTTTGATGTTTATCATTCGATTGATAATTGTATTGATAACCAGTTCTATCCGTTTCTAATAAATTGATTGAACAACAATCATATTGATGTAAGTGGAACGTTAAAATGCATCAGTATGAAAATATCTACTTCAACAGACTACGAATTTAAATGCAACTTTGAAAACACATATAGATATATACAGAATGTGCGCGCACAATGCATTTTTTGAGGAAAAATAACCTTGATTAATAGGTTTGGTTAATTGTTTATAATAATCGATTCAATAGGTATTTTAATATATCCTGTCTTTCTTGGTTTCTTACTTGGGTTCCTTGACAAACTAAATGACTTCTTAAATCAACTATTATCATTGAGGACGGCTAATCGTAAAATTAAGTAAACATGCACTTGCTCTAATGCAGTGCATACGCTTTAAAACTATTCAAAAATAATTTGAATTATTGCAATAAAGTTTTTTAATTTTTGTGCAATTATTTTTTATATTGAATATTCTTAAATATTAAAATATTATGTAATGTTTATTTAGTGTATATATATATATACAATATAT